AAAACAAAACAAAACAAAACAAAACAAAACCACAACAGCAACGAAAAAAATCGGCAAGTTAATGATGATTGAAGATCCAGCCTAAATTAATTTTGAGACTTCTGGCACGCAAACGAGAGGGTCAAGAAAAGACGTCTGAAGTTAGCAGCTCATAGGAAATTTTTTGCTGTGCCGTGTCTGTTTGGTGCAGCTCAGTGAGTAAACAATGACGAAATCCAACTTTTGACGGCAAGTTTGCCGCTAGGGTCACGAAAGCCAGACGAATGCAATAAACATCCTAAGACGTGTTAACGCTACTGTGTCAGGCTTGTCAGATCAGCGGAAATCTTTCTTGTTGTTTTTGTTTTCCGCTCATCAGTTTTTACAACACCATGTTGAAATGTTTACGGTGTAGTGAGTTGCAGTTACAGAGTTGAAATTTACTTCAGTTAAATATGAAAAGAATCCTGCGGAGTAATTTCGGCGAGTGCAATTTGAAATATCAGGAGTAGCGTAAATCCTTAATTGCTGGAGCTTTCATACGATTACTCATTTATTATATGACTGAGAAAATTGAGAATGCACGCGCGTTAATTTACATAGCAGTGAAAATTAAGAATTAACGATAAATTGGCCTGCTCTCAGCCAATCACAAGAAGTTATTTTCTCAGTCATATAATAAGAAATAAATAATCACTCGCAAATTTTTCAAATGTGTTCTTTTTTGTCTTAGTCTTTGAAAATTTTCCTGTGCGTATTTATTCCAAATTGCACTCGAAATCATTTGATTATCTATACAAACAGTATGCAAGTTTAGATTATGATTGAATAATTGAATAATTTTACCTTGGAATGTTGACTTCGTAAATTAAGTTTTTCTCTGACATACATTGCTGGCTCGATAGAAACTCGGTCAGTGTAAAACGCAGACTGCGGACTGCAGAATGCATGCTGCTGACCCGGGGAAAATGAAGACTGCAGCCTACAAACCTACCTTTCAAGGATATATCGTGTCATTATGTCTCTCTACGCGCGCTGTGATTGGTGAATTTGGCGGGTCGTGTTCTACTGTGCGGCCCGCTAAAATTTAAAGCTGTTTTTAGTGCCAAAACAATTCGTTATTTATCGCCAAGTGTTCATAACTTGGCGATAAATCACGAATGAGGCCGAACCCTCTCGTGCGTTTCGGTTTAACTGAGTCTGACACAAGACAAAAATGTTTTTCAATAGACTCATGGTAAAACGTAGACAATAGTCTTCCTAAGTACATGTAAAATACTTACCTAGAATGTCTTGCCGGAAGTCTTACTGAACAAGTTCACCACCACAATTTACAGCTTAAAAGGATATCATTTAACTGTAAAAGAGATTGCGCGATTTTTCACAGTTATAGTTTTTAGCACATAAGCAAAGGCTAGCTGGAAATCAAGACGATGGTTCGACGAATGCTTTCAATAGAGTGTCTTGGCAGAAACTTTAATTTTAATGTTTTTCATCCGTTTTCATTTTATCGTAAACACGAGATGAAAAGTTTGAAAAAAATTAGGCAAGTGACTGCAGTTATAATTGAGCAGCCTTTCAGGTGCTAAAAACATATAATAACGGATATAGAATGGTGATGAATAGAGGTTCCATAGTGATGTCAACTGCTTGCCAAATATAAAAAAAACTTAAATAAACTGTATTTAAATTTTCACTGAGGTACTAGCTGTATAACAGTGATTAGTGAAACCACGGTAGACCCTTTGAGTAAAAGCTTGATAGCGATATGTTATTTTTAATATGTGATTAGCATATTTTTGAACCCGATTCCTTTTTTGTCCTTTTAATTTTCAACTTAAACGATCGCAATACGATATGTTAAAAGTATATAAATAGCAACTGAACTAGATAAACAAGAATTGGTTTGAATTCATATAATTATGAGTAAATACTGCCTGCTCTCTATTGAAACTTTTTCATGTGTTTAATAACACAAACGTCACTTCAGCGTGAACTATTCTTAAGTGGAAAACTGCTGTATTTGAGGTATAAAATTTAAAAGCAAATTCAACAAGCTGGTCTAATATTCATCTTTTCTGCTTGAATAGAAGCAGCTTTCTATATAAGCTGGTGAGCCGATCCTTTTTCGTGCTCTGGGGAGGCGAGAAAAATGGCTGCTTCGGAGGTAGTCTTATTGTTCTTGGTCTGTACAACTCACGCTAACTTGCATCGACCAGAAGGTATGATATAAGATCAAGCCCCTCTGTGTCACGATCATAATCTTTCAATTCAGTCTTATCAACGTAATTAAGAGAACGATTAAAGGCAATAATGGATTTCAGCATTAATCGACCATACTAACTGGTTATTCTTTTGTTTAGAAAACGTTGGCCTTGGAGACAAAAACTTGTTCGAAGGCGACATGATCCTTACCGACGCCCAAAGAATGGCTGTCATGCTCGGAGAAGACGTCAGTAAGGCTGGACTGGGCCGCGCATCAATTCGCAAGAATCTATGGCCCGGGGCGGTTCTTGTCTATCACTTGGATCCAGCAATCGGTAGTAATCAATCCGTTTTGTTGAACTTCTTTCAAAGTTTTCATCAAAGACCGAAAATAATTTATAAATCGAGCTTTTTTTATAGCAGACAAGTTTTCAACCTTTTATCCTTGGATGAAATAGTCTTGGAAGCTAAATGGACGATTCGATTGTGGCCTTGAGCTACTATGTTTCTTTTTGTTCCAAGTTTTTGCCTCAATCGAATCGTCCATTTAATCATCCAACATGCCACTTTAAGTCAACCTCAGACGTTTACTGAATCTCGGAGGCATCTTGTACTTATATCCATTGATTGTTTGTTAGATTAATACGTAAATAGCATCAAAAAAGTATGACCCTTTAATTTCGGCCGAATTAGCAATGTAATGTTGCACATTAATTTAAATAACTTACCAACTTATGGTAAAAAATAGTAATAATAAAAATAAATCTAGCCAATGTTTGGTGCACACTGTAGTACACGGCAGTACTTAATTAGCTAGATAAATCTATACTTTTGGTTTCACCAAGCAGGATCCTTTTCAGCTTCCCTTAAAGGGAAGGAAGTATCAGATCTCCCCCTTAAAGTCAAGCCAAGTGAAGCGTACCCTCAAGATTACATTAATGAATTGATTATTTGAAAATTGAACTCGCCAGTCATTTCAAAAATTAATATTTAATTGATTTTTTTGAATATTAAACCCATTAGCCGTATTCTTGGAACGATTAGTTGGTTCAATTTTCCAATAATCAATTCAGTATTTCATTCTTGAGGGGTACGCCTTACTTAATTTGACTTTAAAACCGTGACGGTTTTTCCAGTCAGCTTTGAACGCTTGTAACCATCAAACAACGAACTCCTAAGGTGGTGAAGTTGACTAAACTTTATCAAAAATTTATTAAATCGTCTTAGTAATGAATGTCTTTTGACACTTCATAACCTGTATTTTAAAACGCTTCGCCACTAGACTACGAGTAGTCCCTCTTTCACTTAGTCCGTCGCACGTGACGGACTAAGCAAAAGAGGGACTACTCCGGCGTAGTCTATTTCATGACCACCTCCCGTTTATAACACCACACAAAAACCCTTCCGAAGTTGTATACCCCATGAGTTATAATGCGGAATTTTGTTGCATACCAGTAGCTACAAGAAGCCTGGACCAAATTTTACAATGTAAGTGCTGTTTGATACTGAGTGTAAGCTGTATGTTGTAAACATTTACCATCTTCCTTATGCTTGTAAATTTACTAAATGTACGCGTTTCTATCATTACTTATAGAGAGAAGTTCAAGAGCTATGTCAGCAATCAATGCTGCCATGAATTTGTGGAAAACTCAAACGTGTGTGCGGTTCAAGAAAAGGACAACTGAGAGCGCTTATGCCTACTTTCACATTGGCTCAGGGTAAGCATTAAAGTGGCGTACTTTAATTTTGAGAGAGTAAAAGAGGTTCCCGTAGCACAAAGCGGCTAGGAGTATTTCTCCCCCTCCCCGTCCCCCCTCCAGGATGGGATGGTAGTCCATCGCAGGGCTACCCCAAGCGTTAAATTCACCCACACCAATTTATACATAAATTCAACACCATTATTAATATATTGCGCTCAGCCACATACTCGGACTGCCTTGTTAAGCAGTGAAAAGTAGAAAATACCTCTCTTTCAATTTGTCTTTTGATTGGTTTCGTTGGGAGTTTTCTTGTTCAATTATTTGTCAGATGCACGTCATATGTGGGACGGACAGGAAGAAGACAGATGGTTTCCCTTGCCAGAGGATGCTGGTACACGCACACTGTTGCACATGAGATTGGTGGGTTTGTATGACTGATTTTATGAAACATGGTACACTAAGAGAATACAGTATCTCTCGCAATAAATAAGTACGCTTGATTCTGTTGTTACCTACTTTGTTTGACCCCATCTGAAATTTTAACGTAACCTTTACAATAAAGCACGGTAAATGCACCTTCATGCATGGTATTAAGTTATGGACTGTTTTTTTTTCTCAATTTCCAGTGTGTCGTACATGCGCTCTGATTAAAGGGATAAACATTTCCCCCCTAAATTGCAGTCAGTTTTTCTTTACGTTGTTGTTGTTTTGTTTATGATGCTGTTGTTCTCAGGTCATGCTCTGGGATTCTATCATGAACAGTCCCGTCCTGATCGCGACGATTACGTGATAATCAACTGGCAGAACATTCAGCAGGGTAGGTATAAAAACATAGTAAACATAGTCCCGTGTATAAATGTTGAATGATCGCTACGAGTAACTCCACCTGCTCTCGTACATGCAATTAGAGAAAAACGAGCAAGAAGTGATTCACTCGTCACGAACGTTATTTTTACGTTTGTATGCCGAACCCACCACTACATGGCCGGGTTGTTCGAGAGGTGGATAACACAATCCACCGGATAAATCACTTTGCAGCGGATAGCGTGGTTGGTTTAGTTAAAACGTGTCCATTGGATAGCGATTTATCCGAATGATAGCGTTACGCAGCCTTAAAAACAACTGGGACAACTACAGCAAGTGAAAGTCTAACTACGATAAGTATAGTTGTTGTAATTAATTAGAAAATTTGCACAGGCTCTCATTACCAACTAAACAGATTTTGAACAGTGGGGATAAGAATAATGAGATTTGAAAAACCTCAAATAGGCTGATCATGAATGCCAAATGGTAGGCAAAAAAGTNTTCGTTGCTAGTAATGTTGTTCATGCTGTTTACCGTGTAGCAGAATCGTTTCTGAAATAGAATATACAAAACAAGTAACTCACTTTAAATTGCCCAAGGCCGGTTCAGACGCAAGCGCGCGCTTACTAAGGAAGAAAGATAAGCAGGTGCGGGGTTTGGTTCCGGTTGAGTCTACTTCATCTGCACTCTCTTAAACATGTCAAAGTGCCCGTTACCATTGATTCGAACATGGCGACTTGACAAAACATTGAAACGTTGCTATTCCTTTTTCCTCAGGCCGTTGCAAATAGAATAAAGTAAAAACTAAAATATGTGCCCGTTTACACAGTGATGGCCGGACAGTTTTTGAACGTAAATTTAACATTTTATTTCTAGAGATGATTAAAAAGCAAGCGAAATATTTTTAGGAATATTAATTACCTTAACATGTTATTTTTGCAGTCACAGAGGCACAGTAAGAAATAAAAATCTTTTGGAGGGGTGCAGAAGCTTCCAAAATCCATTCCCTGATTTGCTATTATTCCTTCTCCATCGAGTTTATTTTACGTGAACATGTGAAGTCAGTTTTACGCTCGATTCCCGTCACCTTCTCGACGCCGGCTTTCCATCCTCCCCAAGATGAGAGAGCAACAAAGCAAGTCGTGGCGTAAATTTATAATTCACACTGCGCTCCCCGGAAATGTCAACCGATGACAACCATACATATAGAAAGGCCCGCATGACACTTATAATTCACAACATTTGTTCTCTTTAATTTTGGTCTTCCAAACTATTTTGATTTACGTATATATTGTTGCTGCGGAAGGGCATTATGTACTGTGTTCCTGGAAGAAGTTTTGAGTGTCAGAGAAAACCGGCAGAATCATTCGTTTCACAGAATAAAAATTAGCGGAAAAGATTTTAAAACAACCATAACATTTGCCGAGGTAGGCGTTCTTTTTTCTACGAGATATCACCTCTCAATTGGCATAAAATACTGGACATTTTAAGCAATTTTGGGCGAGTCTAAAAGATACTTCATACAACTTTCAGAAACTCTTATATTTTGGCGACACAATTAGTTGACTGAGAGGTATATTAGACGTCCTTAGCTTTAATACTTCGGCAACCGTTTCACGAGGTATCAACTGATATCTCCTTTGTCCCAAATGTTAGTCATTTTAGGTGGATTGTTTTACAAAAGTGCGGCAGAAATGTTCGCCGCCAATTTTTAGTAAAGGAAACCCTGCTGGTTCGCTTTACATTCCCAATTATGCATGGCCATCTTTGACACATGCAGGAAGGTTGGGAAAAATAATTAGTTCCTGCTCGCTTCATGAACAACTCAAAACTATCTCAATCTTCAGAGCAAAATATGAATCAAGTTACGTTTTTGCTCCACATACATGCAATCTCGTTCTCGATGAATGCTCAAATAGTTGCCAATAACAGCTGTGATTAAAACAAGGATGGTCGAGGAAAGATGTCAGAGGTCGGTTGATTTTATACCGTGCCGGTGACTATTTGGTGCAGCTGTATGTAAACAATGAACAAATCTCAATTTTCCCGCTGTCCAATCCAGGAAGGAGTCGCGAAGGACAGGAGAATTGGATAAACATCGCACCAAGACATGTAAGCGTTGCTAGTCAATGGAAATCTTGCTTGCGTCCAAAGTTCGTTTGTATTAGCGCAGCCTAGTATACAGTGTCCTTTTCCACTCAACCTTCTTGCAAGAACATCGATATTAACGTAGACAGTAAGTAGGCTGAATTTTCCAGCGAAAATTCTATTTTCTTATAAGTCACACTACATGGAAAACAAATAAATCACTGGTGGTCTTAGCTGTCGTGTTAAAAAAAACAAAAACAAAACAAAACAAAACAAAACAAAACCACAACAGCAACGAAAAAAATCGGCAAGTTAATGATGATTGAAGATCCAGCCTAAATTAATTTTGAGACTTCTGGCACGCAAACGAGAGGGTCAAGAAAAGACGTCTGAAGTTAGCAGCTCATAGGAAATTTTTTGCTGTGCCGTGTCTGTTTGGTGCAGCTCAGTGAGTAAACAATGACGAAATCCAACTTTTGACGGCAAGTTTGCCGCTAGGGTCACGAAAGCCAGACGAATGCAATAAACATCCTAAGACGTGTTAACGCTACTGTGTCAGGCTTGTCAGATCAGCGGAAATCTTTCTTGTTGTTTTTGTTTTCCGCTCATCAGTTTTTACAACACCATGTTGAAATGTTTACGGTGTAGTGAGTTGCAGTTACAGAGTTGAAATTTACTTCAGTTAAATATGAAAAGAATCCTGCGGAGTAATTTCGGCGAGTGCAATTTGAAATATCAGGAGTAGCGTAAATCCTTAATTGCTGGAGCTTTCATACGATTACTCATTTATTATATGACTGAGAAAATTGAGAATGCACGCGCGTTAATTTACATAGCAGTGAAAATTAAGAATTAACGATAAATTGGCCTGCTCTCAGCCAATCACAAGAAGTTATTTTCTCAGTCATATAATAAGAAATAAATAATCACTCGCAAATTTTTCAAATGTGTTCTTTTTTGTCTTAGTCTTTGAAAATTTTCCTGTGCGTATTTATTCCAAATTGCACTCGAAATCATTTGATTATCTATACAAACAGTATGCAAGTTTAGATTATGATTGAATAATTGAATAATTTTACCTTGGAATGTTGACTTCGTAAATTAAGTTTTTCTCTGACATACATTGCTGGCTCGATAGAAACTCGGTCAGTGTAAAACGCAGACTGCGGACTGCAGAATGCATGCTGCTGACCCGGGGAAAATGAAGACTGCAGCCTACAAACCTACCTTTCAAGGATATATCGTGTCATTATGTCTCTCTACGCGCGCTGTGATTGGTGAATTTGGCGGGTCGTGTTCTACTGTGCGGCCCGCTAAAATTTAAAGCTGTTTTTAGTGCCAAAACAATTCGTTATTTATCGCCAAGTGTTCATAACTTGGCGATAAATCACGAATGAGGCCGAACCCTCTCGTGCGTTTCGGTTTAACTGAGTCTGACACAAGACAAAAATGTTTTTCAATAGACTCATGGTAAAACGTAGACAATAGTCTTCCTAAGTACATGTAAAATACTTACCAAGAATGTCTTGCCGGAAGTCTTACTGAACAAGTTCACCACCACAATTTACAGCTTAAAAGGATATCATTTAACTGTAAAAGAGATTGCGCGATTTTTCACAGTTATAGTTTTTAGCACATAAGCAAAGGCTAGCTGGAAATCAAGACGATGGTTCGACGAATGCTTTCAATAGAGTGTCTTGGCAGAAACTTTAATTTTAATGTTTTTCATCCGTTTTCATTTTATCGTAAACACGAGATGAAAAGTTTGTAAAATATTAGGCAAGTGACTGCAGTTATAATTGAGCAGCCTTTCAGGTGCTAAAAACGTATAATAACGGATATAGAATGGTGATGAATAGAGGTTCCATAGTGATGTCAACTGCTTGCCAAATATAAAAAAAACTTAAATAAACTGTATTTAAATTTTCACTGAGGTACTAGCTGTATAACAGTGATTAGTGAAACCACGGTAGACCCTTTGAGTAAAAGCTTGATAGCGATATGTTATTTTTAATATGTGATTAGCATATTTTTGAACCCGATTCCTTTTTTGTCCTTTTAATTTTCAACTTAAACGATCGCAATACGATATGTTAAAAGTATATAAATAGCAACTGAACTAGATAAACAAGAATTGGTTTGAATTCATATAATTATGAGTAAATACTGCCTGCTCTCTATTGAAACTTTTTCATGTGTTTAATAACACAAACGTCACTTCAGCGTGAACTATTCTTAAGTGGAAAACTGCTGTATTTGAGGTATAAAATTTAAAAGCAAATTCAACAAGCTGGTCTAATATTCATCTTTTCTGCTTGAATAGAAGCAGCTTTCTATATAAGCTGGTGAGCCGATCCTTTTTCGTGCTCTGGGGAGGCGAGAAAAATGGCTGCTTCGGAGGTAGTCTTATTGTTCTTGGTCTGTACAACTCACGCTAACTTGCATCGACCAGAAGGTATGATATAAGATCAAGCCCCTCTGTGTCACGATCATAATCTTTCAATTCAGTCTTATCAACGTAATTAAGAGAACGATTAAAGGCAATAATGGATTTCAGCATTAATCGACCATACTAACTGGTTATTCTTTTGTTTAGAAAACGTTGGCCTTGGAGACAAAAACTTGTTCGAAGGCGACATGATCCTTACCGACGCCCAAAGAATGGCTGTCATGCTCGGAGAAGACGTCAGTAAGGCTGGACTGGGCCGCGCATCAATTCGCAAGAATCTATGGCCCGGGGCGGTTCTTGTCTATCACTTGGATCCAGCAATCGGTAGTAATCAATCCGTTTTGTTGAACTTCTTTCAAAGTTTTCATCAAAGACCGAAAATAATTTATAAATCGAGCTTTTTTTATAGCAGACAAGTTTTCAACCTTTTATCCTTGGATGAAATAGTCTTGGAAGCTAAATGGACGATTCGATTGTGGCCTTGAGCTACTATGTTTCTTTTTGTTCCAAGTTTTTGCCTCAATCGAATCGTCCATTTAATCATCCAACATGCCACTTTAAGTCAACCTCAGACGTTTACTGAATCTCGGAGGCATCTTGTACTTATATCCATTGATTGTTTGTTAGATTAATACGTAAATAGCATCAAAAAAGTATGACCCTTTAATTTCGGCCGAATTAGCAATGTAATGTTGCACATTAATTTAAATAACTTACCAACTTATGGTAAAAAATAGTAATAATAACAATAAATCTAGCCAATGTTTGGTGCACACTGTAGTACACGGCAGTACTTAATTAGCTAGATAAATCTATACTTTTGGTTTCACCAAGCAGGATCCTTTTCAGCTTCCCTTAAAGGGAAGGAAGTATCAGATCTCCCCCTTAAAGTCAAGCCAAGTGAAGCGTACCCTCAAGATTACATTAATGAATTGATTATTTGAAAATTGAACTCGCCAGTCA